AAGGGATCGACATGATTCAGGCATTTAGTAGATAATTTAGGTAAATTGTAGAGCCAAACCAAAGATAACTCTCAGGATTATGGCTATAGTAATTAGGTAAAAATGTTATAATCAACAAAAATTGAGAATATAGAAAAAGGATCTGGTGTTATATACATTCATGTTGTAGCTACATGATATCAGGAGGATACTAAAGTTTACAAATGCCATCTGACAAATTATCCAGAATCCATTGTGTCATCTAAATTTTTTGTTGGTTTACATAAAGATCTATTATTCAAGTAGTGCATCATTTCCAATGAATTTATTCATGCCCAAAATATGTGTTAAGTATATAATATCTGTGGGGCACAATTGTGGGTATTGGCAGAAAAAGTATGAAAGTCCAAGTTTACCTGGTAAACTAAGATTACTGAAGCAACTATTGGGATCTTTCATAGGATTATTGTGAACATATTGAAGACATTGCAGGCAACTCAGAAACCTGGTAAGTGGTTGGATTGCCTATTCAGTGTGTTTGATTAAGGAATTGCTATTGTCTTAAGAAAGTTCCCACCTAAGCTTTGTCCTCAGCCATATTTTTTTCAACCATGTTATCAATAATTTGGATAAAATGTACTCATCATAATTATTTTTTGAAGGGTGAAAGAAATATGAAAACAGTATCTATAATAATTTTGACTATCTGAATAAACTAGTTGAACATACATAAAATTGAACATAGATAATAACAACTTTTATTTGGGGGGAAATATACTTGTAAAAGTCCACGACTGGAGTAATAAGACCGTCAAAAAGTTAACTCGATCATCAATGTATTAGTAGAAACACAGTATATGAACTGAGTGCTGAAAGTACCAACCTATGAATTAGACCCAGGCAATAGGAGGCTCCTCCCTCCCTTCCTTGTCTTTGGTATATAACTTCTGCCCAGTGTTACCACAGTGGGAACAATTTTCAAGGATATAGCCTTGAGAGAGCAATGTGTTGTTGAGACCATCTGGATGGTGTATGTAACTGAACTCAGTAAAGGCCTCTATATAAACTTTTAAGATTCTAGCATGTGGGTGCAGAGAGCTACTTGTCTTATAGCAATGACCCAAATCAAGCCTCAATTCTGTTATTAAACTGCCACCTATGCATCTGGAGTGGTCTCTTTCTTTGGGCTCTCCTTACACTCTGTGTACAGGAGCCAGTTTACAGAAGAACAATTCCACACGCACATTAGACCACCCCTACTTAATGCTCTCAGTTGTGCATATTACACTTTAGAGAAGCATCCATACCAGACAAAGCAAAAACACTCAGAAAATCAGAGTATTGAAGGCTTGAAGTTGCAATACACGAGGAAGTGATGATAAAAATGAGAATGTGTCTTTTGACAAGTGTAGAATTATTTGGGGAGTATAATGGGACTGGGATACACACATATAATAACTTAAAATATTGTCAGCAAGGCCATGGCCAGGCTATTTTATTAAATGACCTCTTGGAGTAGATCTGAGACCAAGGGGTGAAAAACTTCAGGGCTGTATTCTTCTGAATGTTAATGAGTCTACCTACTCATTTGGCAGTTGCATTGTATATTGTCAACAAATTTAGTTTTGGATTAGCTGACCTTTAATTTTATTTTTTTAATTTATTGATTTTTTTTGTTTGGAGAGAGAGAGAAACATTGATTTGTTATTCTGATTCTTTACACATTCATTGGTTGATTCTTGTATGTGCCTTGACTGGCGATAGAACCTGTAACGTTGGCATATTGGGACGCTGCTCTAACCAACTGAGCTACCTGGTCAGGGCTATTAGACGACCTTTAAAAAATATCCCTTGCCTAGCTGGTGTGGCTCAGTGGTTGAGCATCAACCCATGCACCAAGAAGTCGTTGGTTCAATTCCCGGTCAGAGCACATGCCCAAGTTATGAACCCAATTCTCATTGGGGGGCATGCAGGAGGCAGCCAATAGATGTTCTCTCTCATTGGTATTTCTATCTCTCACTCCCTCTCCCTTCCCCTTTCTTTAAAAATTAATAAAGAAAAAAATAAATAAGTAAATAAAAAATATCCTTTGAACCCTTCCTTAGATTCTATGATTTGTGACCTGAGGAGTCAAGGACTACATTCAAAAACTAAGATGTTCTCAGTTCATTTGAGTTTGAACTGGGGGTCCTCCCAGGCTCCCTCCATTGTGCATCCAGCCACTCTGGCTTTTCTCCAGAGCTCTCACAGTGTCTGCAGGGTCAGCGATAAACTCAGGGCCTTCCATCCAGTGACTGAGCTCTACATCTGCTCTCACCAGAATGTGTGTCCTTGAAGTTTCTACAAACTGGGAGATGAGAGAGAGTAGATATTTCCAAGGCATTTAGTACTTTGGCAGAAAAACAAAAACACAAACAAAAAATTTGCTAAAAGGAGAAAATTTTAAGTTAATTCTTTTATTTTGACAGAGTGTTTGAGTATCCAAGACTTTCTACTGAGTCAGCCAAAATAAAACTATTTGAACTTACTGGGAATATTATTTTGAGTCACAGTAATATAATGATCAGAACATTTAAATGCTTTCAGTCACCAGTACATACTATCTTAACTTCACAGCAGCACATTCTTAATGATAATATTCCTCATTGCACACCACACTATGAAAATACCACAGGTTAAAATGTTTCTTTTAATTCATGAAAGAAGTGTTCACACATCAGGTCCCAATTTCACAATGATTCTTTTTTCCCCTCAGAAAATATGCAAAAAAGGAATACATGACTCATTTAGTAAAAATCTCATGATTTCGGTTCAATTCCTAGTGAGGCTTTGGAATGGATGCTTCCTTTATACCATTCCCATCTTCTCTGAGTCACCAAGGTTTTTTAGATTTTGGCAGGAGAGCCTGGTCCTAGGTCCTCAGAGTTACACGTGGCTAGGAATAAATATAATGTCAGAACTTGAACTGGAGTGAGTATAAGCACTACCCTTAGATCCAGGCATCCATGGACACTTTTGCATTTATCTTCAGGTAGAGCAGGAGGGAGAGAAGGGGGAAGAAAGAGAGAGAGAGACATTGATGTGAGAGAGACACATCGAGTGGTTGCCACCCGCACGACCCAACCAGAGCTGGGGACAAACTGCAACCGAGGTATGTGCCCTTAGCGGGAACTGAACCAGGGACTCTCTGGTCCATGGGCTGATGCTCTAATGGCTGAGCCAAACTGGCCAGGGTGAGAACTTGTATTTCTAACAAGTTCCCAGGTACTGCTGCTGCTGGTTCACAGATCCCACTTTGAGAATGATTAGTTTAGTGGCTCCCTCTGTCTTTCCTCCCTCTATCTTTACTCTAGTGGGGGTATCCCTCCCACTAGATGAGTAGTTCATGTGATCCAGGGAACTTGCCAAACCAGAGCCTCTCCAAACACTCTCTGGCTATGCCCACCTCATCCCAGTATTCCCTCCCTTCCATCTGCCCCATGACAGATCCAGCCATCAGCAGGTCTGTGTTTGTGCCTGAGGGCTGACACACGTCATTTGCAGGAGGCTTGGCAGTGTGGCCCGGGAGGGGCCCCAGGCAGAGCTCTTCTGATGCAGATGGAAACTGAGGAAGCCAGAGGAAAGGGTTGGTCTCTGTTCTGAGGACCTTCATTTGCCTTCTTGCAGACACATACTGGGGGTGGTCTTATATCTGCTGATATAAATGACAGGGAGAAATCCCATCCTGTTACAGCTCATCCTGATTTTAGGGTCACAGAATCACAGCTCGGATGGTTCTATTCACGAGGAACCATTGCATCCAAAGTGCTCTTTTTAGAGCAAAAGATGAATGTTTTCTTCCCTTCCATACAACCGTCTACAGCAGTTTTCCCAAATGACCACACAGTGTAGGGCACAGTGTGTGGTGTTTGAGGTTCCACATATTTTAGCTGAAATCTCTCTTTAACTTCTTCCTGTGTGATTTTGAGCAAGTCAGTCACTTTTGAACAAGAGGTAATTCGTTGCCCTTGGTTTCTTGATCTTTAAAATGGGAATATGGATGCTTCCCCCTCTTTCACCTCTTCCGCATTTTCAGCCAGCGTACTCCCATGTATCCTTCACCCATCAGCTCAAGTGCCACTAGTTGATTAGATCAGGTGCCTCTGGTAACCCAGACATAACTGCACTCTTCCCCATGGCATTTGCAATGCTTTGTCCTTTTATATTTGTGTTCTTGTTCTGTAATGTCCACTAACCCACTGGAGTCCAAGAGCAGGGATCACGTCTCCTTAATTCCCTTTTATGCCCTGTCTGTCTGGCACAGAGCCTCTTACCTAATAGATGCTAAATCCATGTTTGCTCAATGAATAAACAAATGTGTGGTTATTGTCACAATTAGAGATAAAATATGCTAAGTTACTGGCATATTGTAGGTGCTTAATAAATGACAGTGGTGAGTTTCAGTACAATAGGGATTGCAGTTAGACACTGTATCTTGTTTCCTCATACTTGATTCATGGAGGAGAATGGGGTGAATTTGGGACAACCACAATTTGAACTGTCCAACTCAAAAAAAAAAAAAAAGTGCTGCGATAAACTACTGGCTGGAACAACGAGAATCGTGATACACTTTTTAAAGGCTTAAGAAATGAAACCCACAATTTAAAACAAAGGGAAAAAGTACAAGAAAAAGGTTTTTTGTCAAAAACTTTTGTTTACCCCTCACAACTCATGCCAGAAATAGTGCATCTTCTTAAAAGGCATGTGGTGACTAACTCCCCACCCAAGTGTTCGCACCGACACCCCCAGCCTCCCTTTTACCCTCACATCTTGGAGCTGCTTTGATCTGTCCCTTCGATATCAGCCAGCCCAAATATCCTCCTGTCAAATATTTCTGGGGCCTATACTTGAAGAAAGAAATGATTTCTCAAATCTGTGAACAGGACATTTCTTTTTTAATGTCAAAATAAACCATCTGCTTGTACAACTGTTTCTAATTACTTTCCTGCCTAGACTCTCCACTTGAGGGGTTTGGCACCAGCACCCCGCCCAGAGCGGTGCCGCTGCCCAAATCCTCGCAGGCAGGCGGCTCATCAATGCACTTTCAGCTCCAGGCAGAGCCCGGGACCTGCGCGCCCGAGCGTCCCTGGGTCCGCCTGCCCTGCCGGCTGCTGGTGGCACCTCGCCCTCGGGGCAGCCTCCCCGAGAGCCCCACCTTGCAGAAGCACCGCTCTCTGCCGCAGCCCAGGCGCTCAGCATGCCTCCCGCAGGCTTCGGGAACTTCTTGCTGCTGGCGTGCCCCTTCCTCCTCGCGGGGCTGTCAGCTGTTCCTCAAAACTTCTCGCCATCTCTGAGGTAAGTTTGGTTTGTTATTCAAGGCAGACCTGCCCTGCTTTGTGTGGCAGGGCTCAAGCATGCAGGATGGCTGCCCTACGCCAACAGCAGTTAAGGAGGTTGGACACAGGATGAACTGTTTTCAACCTGCTCCTGTTCCTTTCTTTAGATCCATGCTGTGCGTTGCTTCTCCTCTGTCCTTTTGCTTTTACTTGGGAAAAACAGAATCACTGAATAAGTAATTAAGTCCCTCCTATGCAACGTATACCAGGAGGAATTTCTGCTATGAGTTAAAGGTAGTTCTATCTATGTGTATCTACAAGTTTTCATAGCCTATAAGGCTGAATTGTTTCATGGGTCTGTATTATATTTTGTAAGAGATGTTGAGGCCCATTGCAAAGCTAAATTTTTTAAAAGTATAGTTTATAATCGCCGCTCACTGCAACGTTAGAAAGCATTTTGCCCTATGCTATCATAACATGTATAGCACTTTCTATACATTCATTTCTTCTTTTTTATAAAATAACTGTCTCTGGCCATCAGGCAATAATGGAACTTTTCCAAACAAAACTGGAAAGTCAGCTAAGTGTCATACTTGGGATTGATGTGTATTTTATCTAACTGTGCATATAAGATTCGGGGACAAACTTCAAAAGGCAGGACTGGATCACTCTGTCCAACTGGAGGGTGGTCTTATTCCTAGGTGGGTAGGTCATCGCTTAGACATTCTGGGTCATGGTCATGCCTCAGGTGATAGCCTATGGGTGGTGACTCTTGCCTGGAATAACACAGCATTTCTAGAGGGACCTTGGCCTCCAGAGAAATGTGGGGCATCAGGGGTTCTATGTCTCCATCTGGGTGGACATTGGGAGGAAACGTGGGCTCCGCGCAGTAGGAGCAGTGTCCGTGTTTGACCAGGGCCCTGCTGTGTTTGTCGCCCTATGCAGAAGCGGGCCAGGTGCCACGTGCCGGCTGTCCCGGGCTGAGTCCGAGCGACGGTGCCGGGCGCCGGGGCAGCCCCCAGGGGGCGCTCTGTGCCACGGCCGGGGCCGGTGTGACTGCGGGGTCTGCATCTGTCACGTGAACGAGCCAGGCGTGTACTTCGGGCCCTTGTGTGAATGCCACGAGTGGGTGTGCGAGACCTACGACGGGAAGACCTGTGCAGGTAAGGGAGGACACTGTCTCTCTCTCCGTGACACACCAGCACACGCGGGAGCAGAGACACACTTCCTTCTGGGGTTTCTGCCATTTCCCAGGAGAGGGGAGGGAGGGACCTCTGCTCATAGCCCAGGAAGTCGCTGCCATCCACGAAGCTATTCTTTTGCTAGTTAATTCTGAAATCCCTTATTATAACACTTTCCTCCGCTCTAGGGTTCAAACGTAATTGGAAATAATATTTGTAAAATTCATTCTCTTAATGATAAATCTCATTTGTCTCTTAGTTTCTTATTACAGACTAAACCTCCCAAATTCCTCACAAATTGAGTTATTTTGCTGGGTTCCCCTACCCCAAATACTAACGTTAATCATAATATTTGCAGAACATAAGCCTGTGTTTTATTTTTACTAAGGCAACACAGGGAAACGTTATTTTCCTAAACTCCAAGGGGGCAGGTTGTATCTTTGATTTCTGATTTGCCCTCTCCTACTTAGGATATAGTTCACAGATGTAAGTGCCTATCCGGAACTGTGACAAGGAAAACATAAGTAGGTCCATATTTACTTAGAAGGATCCCTCTTCTATTGTTTTAGCTGCTTGACGTTTTTAGCTGTAGTGAAACTTGGTATTTTGTAAGGGTGGAGTAAACATAAGTTCATTTCCTTGCACATTTTTAAGGAGTGATTTGGGCCTGATTTTGGAAAGGGTCAAAGTATTTCTTTATAGAGTATACGCCGACCTCTACCAGTTTCACCTAAATATGACATTTACTTAAGGCCAAGAACCTCAAGTAGGTCATTGTGAATGATACAAGCACTCCTTCAGTAAAAGGACAACACAATGCATTCCAGCCAGGGTTTGGCATATTTGTAGGAAAAAAAATCACAACTTATTTACCCACAGTGTAGCTAAGAATAAAGAGTCCAACACTAACACACAGAGATCAAGAATGAGTTTATAGCAAAATGTTTTTTTCTTGGCACCTGGCCCAGGAGAGCATAGAGAGAATACTTAACATGCAGGCTGTTTGGCAGTGGAAAAAGTAGCCATATAAGTAATTCAGATGGGCACAGGTGCTTCCATGTGGCTTGTTTACTCTGTGAAGGCTATAGCTCAGCCCTTTAGAAATAGTGAATGCCACTACTTCTTATTCTAACTTTGTTAGTCCCATAAGCTTCAGTATTATTAAGGGCAGCCCTTTGGAATGAAAGCTAAGTATTGTCTAATATTTCATTCCAAATTCAACTTCTACCTCGCTTCTCTGGATTTTATTGCCTCTGGCAAGGCCTCTTCAATATCATGAGTTCTGAATACATTTTTTTTAAGGGCATTTTGTATTGTTCTTTCATTGGAAAAGAAAAAGTAAGATGCAGTCTTCAACCAGTGAAACTACTCATCGGGTCATCAGATAAAACCCCCATTGAAGCTTCTCCGGTTCCTTTCTTTAAAAGTATGCAGAGGGGATGCTGTGGTATTCAGTACTCTTGTTTATCTCCCATGGAAAGTCATTTGTTGTTTAACCATAACATCTTGGTCACTGCATTCCTTCCTCGCTGATACAAAATGCAGTACTGAGTCACCCATGGTTTTGTTTGCTTGTGTGTTCATTCCTGTAGAAAGAAAACTGCCTCTCTTCATTCCAAAGCCTGATGAAGTAACTGTATTCATTTTCCATTCTCGCCATTCTGACTGATGCCCTTCGAGGCCTATGCTACAGCGCCTGGTGCAGAATCTTCCCCTGCTAACGCTCGGACTGTTTTTCCTGGCCAATGAGGAAATCCTTACCCACACCCATTGGACTGCCTTGCTAGCTAGGCGCCTGTTCTGTGCTTTAAATTTAACTTCTCAATTTCATCTTCAAGAAGTAGTTCCAATATTATAGCTAGTGTTATAGAAACATACCAGGTTGCCTTTTATGTTATGTGAACCTGGGTCTTCACCTCTACATAAGCACCTGTAGGTACTTTCTAGAAATAGAGTAGCTTCCAGAGACCTCCGCAACCTCTGTGAAGAAAACAAAATTCTGTATCATAGAGTGGCTAAGGCTTTGGCATCTGGCGGAAATTTTTCAGCATTTAAATCAGCTGTACGAACTTGGGCAGTTACTTAAACTCGATTTCATTATCTATCAAATGGGATAATAGCAGTGCTTACATTATTGAATTGTTGGGAGATTTACATATTTAAAACACTTAGAATGGTGTTTTGCACAAAGTCAGTACTCAGTACATAGTAATATGTGTCTATGTATATAACAGCAATGCATAAAAGATGAACTAGTGTGAATAGATACATAGACAGACAGACAGATAGATGAATGAATGGATGGATGGATAGATGGATAGCCTGGCTTTGTATTTGTTGGACAATTGACTTGGTAAAAGCAATTTAGTTTTCTTAGTGTAATCTGGGCCTGTTGTTATTGATCCAAAGCTCAAAAGGTCGAGCAAGGATAGCTATTTTGGCCCAGCCTCACAGCAGCTGTATCAGCTACACCATGCCCTTTTAAAATTGGGTCCATTGGGATTCTAATACCGTGAATCACAAGAAACACAATTATTTTAGTTTGAGCGGGTTAAAAGTGATTATGTTTACAAGATCACAAGTGGCCTGTTTCTTCCATGTCCACTTGTTCCTTCCACATGCATCTTCCTTAGACTTTAGTACCATAAAGCCTGGCCCAGTGACTGGTCCTGTGGGTGCTGTGTTCTAATATGGACCAACCTAATTTTGGTAACGTATGTCTTGGAGAATAATAAAATGTTTGGTTACATAAAAGCAAACTTTCAGCCCTGGCCAGTTTGGCTCAGTGGTTAGAGTGTCGGCCCATGGACCAATGAGTCATGGGTTCTATTTCCATCAAGGGCATGTACCTCAGTTGCAGTTCGTCCCCGGCCCTGGTCGGGGTCATGCAGGAGGCAACCAGTCAATGTGAGACACACTGATATTTCTATCTTTCTCTCTCCCCGCTTCTCTTCCACTCTATCTGAAGATAAATAGAAAAATATTCTTGGGTGAGGATTTAAAAAACAAACAAACAAAAAACCCCACAAACTTTTATTTAAAATTTTAAGGCATCCCTGGAAACCCTCCTGAACAACTATGATTACACTTAAATAAAATAATTGGTTTCTTAAAAATCTTTTCTAATCACTTTTGGTATAAGTAGATCTATAGTCAGTTGTGACTATGTGAAACACAGTTTATTCTTGTATTATTTTTAATTATTAGTTTTCATATGAACAAATATAAACCTACTTTTGCCCCACCCTGTGTGTGTGTGTGTGTGTGTGTGTGCTGCAATATCTCTGTTTGCTGTTGATATAAAGATGAAGAGATTGAGTAGGAAGGTCAAGAGAAATACCAAATTCCTATAATGCAATGCAGAATATCATTTTTACAAATTTCTACGAGGGTTCCTTTAAGGCAGAAATTGAATGTTGTGGTATTTTGGTTAGAAGTTCTTGAGAATGTGGTAACACCCACATTGTTAAGTTTAGGGAGGATTTTAGTCCAAAAGGTGGATTGTTGGAATTTTGAGTGAAGAAATATTCAAACAATGGTTTAGAAGCAGGAAAGTATGTGGGTGTGTTTGGGGACCAGTGAGGGATTCTGGGTTTGGCTTGGTTGGATTGTAGGGCTGTGGGGAAAATAGTGAAAGATGACTGAGAGTTACAGATGGACATGTTGTAGAGGACTTTGAACCTGGATGTGAAGTTTGTCTTCAGTTAAATAGTATATGGGAGCCATGAAGTAGTTGAACATAGAAATAAAAAAAAACCGATATGTTGCCTGAGAGCACGGCAGGCTGGGGTAGACACTCAATAGGGACTAATTCAGTTTAGATGCCATTTAAGTTATAGTCCAGTGCAGAGAGAATACGTTTAGAATTCTAGTAAATTTAAACTCTTTTGAAACCTACTCTTCAATACCCTCTCCAGTAAAGGAATGTGTTGACTCCTTTCATATGTTTTCCTTGTGGCCCTAATATCTCCTACAGTTTTGTTTTTGTTGTTAATTCTCACCCGAGGATATTTTTTTTTTCCATTGCTTTTTTAGATAGTGTAAAAGGGAGGGATGGATAGATAGAGAAACATTAGTGTGAGAGAAACACATCAATTGGTTGTCTCCCACACCACCCGGACTGGGGCCGGGAATCAAACCCTCGACCCTTCAGTCTACAGACCAACACGCTAACTGCTGAGCCAAACTGGCCAGGGATCCTGTAGTTTATATTTATTTATTTATTTTTAATCCTCACCTGAGGATATATTTTTTTATTTTAGAGAGAGATGATGGGAGAGAGAGAGACAGAGGAATATCGATTTGAGACACATTGATCGATTGCCTGCTGTACACGTCCCGACCGGGGATTGAACTCACAACCTAAGTATGTGCCTTGACTGGGAACTGAATCTGCAAACATTTTGGTGTATGAGATGACACTCCAACCAACTGAGCCACCTAACTTGGGCTTCCGTAGTTTTAGAGAACACATTCAGGAGTTCCTCACGACTAGCTCACTCACCTACTTTATACAAGGCCTTTGTTTGAGCTCCACTCCCCTTGGTTCATCCATTTTGGATAAATGTATCTTGTCTTACACCAAGTGACACAGAAGAGTTAAAGGTTTCCAGACCTACACACCAGTTTTTCTCAACTGTACTGCTTTATTTGGACACCACTCTGCAGCTCCACCATAGAGACCAAAAATACACTGGCTTTGGGCCAGGTCTTCCCCACACTTTGATAATGTAGAGGAGCACAGTTACAATATTATGGTTAGGTCAATCATGTCAGTGTGACAAGTTCAGCAGTTACTTTTATAGTAAAATTTCTTTGGAAAGAGAGAGGAACATATGGGAGCAACATTATTTGTATTACAAGTTTTAAATTTGCAAAGCATAAACCTCCTTAATAGGGTTCTCAAAATTCTTCAACATATTTTGAGACATGATGCTAAAACTGACATGTCTCCTGGTATCATAACCCCCTCAGGAAACTGT